TGAAAATTAAAATAAATATAAATATATATATATTAAAGAATTAATAGAGTAAATAAATTAAGGTATTTGATTCTTTTGTCATGTAAGATTTTAAAATCTCTGTAGATATTTAAAAAAAATTATATTATTATGTGAGTTAATAAAGCTCCAGAGGTATAATGGTTACATTTCCAAAAATAATACTAAAAAAATTTTCAACTCTTTTCTTTTTTCTTATTTCAAAATTTCAAAAAATTGAGAAAATAATTAAAATTAAATTTCTTTTTACAAGTCAAAACATACATATCCAAATTTCAAAAAATTATTTTATTTCCTAAATAGTAAGCTATTTTTTAATTAATTTCTCTTCAAAATAATATAATAATAAAATACAAACAAAATTACAACTCTGAACTACGTAGGTTTTGATCATTCTAGTAGTATACATCAGTCTTAGGCTCTAATCCTATGTCAAATCCACCTTGTAAATAAATAATATTTTTCCTTTCATATTTAAATTCAATTTTTTATTTTCCTTTTTAGATTTATTTTATTTTAATAGGCAAATAATAAAAGAGTAGTCAAAATAATTTTAAAATATCATACTAATTTGATAATTAACTAAGGTAATCATTCCATAAAATGGGTGTTGTGAGGTGTGTAAAACATTTTCCACTCACAATCAACTCCCGAACTTATCTCTGATTATGAGAACTATCCTTATCACCTTCAGTTGGTTTTTTAAGATTTTTCATTCAAATCTTGATGGCGACTTCTTCTTCTGGGACCAACTTTGCTAGCTTGAAGGCCAATTTCCTTCTCTTTTCCCTCACAACGAACGAGCGACCGCATTGTGTGGCGAGCGTGACATGTGGGATGAATTATTAATTTTTAGATATGTATATAAATATTCATTTTTTCATCTATTTGAAATTCAAATTGATTGTATTTAAATTCAAATTAATATCTATCTATTTAAAAATTTTAAAAAATTAATCACTATATAAAATTTTGCATATGTCATCATAATTTCTAAAAATTTTCATTTATCGTAAAGATTTGCCAAAAATCAAGGTTCATATGATTGTGTGTGTGTGTGTGTGTGTATCTATTTGAATTCAAATTCAAATTAACATCTATCTATTTAAATATTGAAATTCAAAATTTTCTCCAACATAGATGCTATTCCAATTATAAATTAATAAACATGAGTTCAGTTATGACTTAATTTCACAAGTCAAGCTTGGATTAACTGTATCTTTCATGAGTTTATTATATAGATATGGGTATCTAATTATCTTTTAGTCCCATCATATATTTACATTACTAAATCTACCTCAACATTTCTTTTAGTCTTTTATTCGTTCACACCAAATCTACATCAACGTTTCTTCTTCTATTGACTTTTATTTTGCAAAAAAAAAAAAAAAATTGATAGACTCATTATCAAATAATCATAGTTGTGTTATATTTCAAATCTTAACTTGGAGAGATGCCCAATTTTAATATCCAACCATGCAACAAATAGGATTGCTTCAATAAAAAAAATACTTGTGAGCAATCAAAAAAAAATATTTAATAACATTTAATATCATTATCATACCCATTATGCAATAGTTGGTTTGAGATATTAATAATCAAATCAAGAAAAAAAGTTGGTGAGTATTTTATTATTCTTATCAAATAAAAAAATCACTTTTTTAATTAAATGCTGAATATATTTGAAATTATGACCAATTAATTTTAAATTATATTTAAAAGTTGTTTTTAATGATTAAATGAAAAAAGTTATTGGCGAGAATTCTATTATTCCTATCAAATAGAAAAAACACTTTTCTAATAAAATGTTAAATATAAATGAAATTACAACCAGTTAATTTCAAATCATATTAAAAATTTATTTATTTAAAGATGCATTTCTAACAAAATATTTTAATACTAATATTCAAATTGATAAAAAATTGTTCCAATAATTTTAAACTTAAGATAAATATGAATAAAAAAAGTTTTCATATGATTTGAAAACTTATCATGATTTAAGAATAATATAGATAATAAAAAATTAATAGAAAAAGATTTACTATTCATGAGGGATGTAATATTAACTTGGTAACCTGAAAAGTTAGTCTTATCTAAGAGATTGATTCACACTAGATAACAAGTTGTGCACAAATATGGCCATACCCTCTTAGGATATATTCGCATGTGCACGTGTTATTTAGAATTTTTACTAATATTAATTGAATTTATAAGATTAACTTTCTTCACAGGTTATACCTAACATAAATTTGTTTGTTATTATCATAAAAAGTATTTGAAAAATCAGTATATTATTTTAATTCAAAATTTTAATTTGTTTTCTAAAATGATATATAATCATTTACTTTTTATAATTTTAAAAATATTACTTTTCAAGAGAAAATGGCTTTAAATTGAGATAGTGTATAAAATTTATTTGTTATTTTAAATTTATTTAATAATGATCATATTTTCAAAAGAAGGCCAACCTAGACTTTATATCAAGTTGGCTTGGTCTCAATCTTGGTGCATAAGGAACGGGCATCGAGTAGATAGCTAATCTAGTCTTGCCAATGATGGGGCCAAAAAATTTTGAATGTGAAGGCAACATATATATATATATATATATATTTGGGAAAATGACACAAATATCTTTAAAATAAGAAAATAAGAAAATAGTATTACAAATGGAGTAATTTTGTTAGTAATTGTGTTTTTGACCCTCTATAAAATAATAGACAATATAGTTGTTAAAATTTAAACTGAAGTTATCAATGACAAAGGTAAAGTTATTATATAATAAGCATATTTGTGATTGTGCGACTATATTAAAGTTATGATCAATTGTGCTGTTAATACCTAAGCTAAAGTTATTAATCACTAAACTAAAATTATTCTTTTAAGAAACATATTCCTAGTAAAATTGAAATTATTAATCACTAAACTGAAATACTTATTTATAAAAACTATATACAGGTATTTACTAGTTTAGACTAAATCTCAACCTAAAATTTCCCCCACTCATCTCAATCTTTTTTATAAACTAATGTCTTTATATTTATAACTCTAATAACATTTGCATAACTCTAAGGTCCTGTTTGTTTGTTAAAATAGATAAGAATGAAATGGATTGAAAAAATAAAAATAAAAATAAATTAAATCACCTTTTTCCCTCATAATAAGCATGATACCATTTAATATTATATACACCACAAATGTGAAAATCTTTACACCCTCCAAAATTTCATGAATTTAACTTCCTTCTTAAATTAAATTGCCATTCACCTTTATAAAAAAGGTTCACTTAACAAGCACATTAAGGAAATGACAAATAACGTTACACGATGTACTAGTTGAAACTAATTTGACAACTAAATTGTTGACATGTTTGTTTGTCAATTGCAGGACTGGATGTATAAGTATCAAAACCATAATAACAAGTGGATCAATGAAACTTATAGGCACATTAACTGAATGACGTGTTTTACAAATATTAACAAGTGGACTTGCATGATTGACAAAATTAGCATAGGAGAATACCAAGACAATAGAATTTACGTGATAAATACGATTTAACATGTGGGAGTTCAATCATGAAAAGTTGAAAGAAGCGTGGTTAAATATTTTAGTGTAAGGTAAATTAACAAGTCTTTTTAAATTTAACTAGTAGCATTAATGGAATGACAAGTGTTTGCTTGATTAATGAAAGCTATCAAAATTGCTCGCAAACTAATACTACGAAAATGACTACTTGAGTATAGGACATTAATAAGCCAAATTTAATATACGACACTAAGGAATTGGGTTGACATTCACAATCATAGAAGTGTTCCTTTAAATATTTTGGTTCCTGTTAAATTAACAAGATCTCTTATGAAATTAATAAGTACCCTTTAGATAAATGAAAATTAGCATAGGAGAATACAGATTAATGAAAATTTATCATTGTCAAGTCATATAGTGTAAATGAGAAATCTGGCATACAGACTCACAAGTGAAATTAAATATAACACTTAAGTGTAGCTAGTGATATCCTTACGAGCTTAATGATATCATTAATAGTAATCTTTGCAGAACTAAGAAAATGAAGAAAAAAGGACAAATGAAAGCACAAGGACAAAGGGAAGAACAAGTTACTGGATTTGAAAAATTCTAAAAAGAATTCCATGGAAAGAACAAGGTGAAGTTTAAGACCTTGCAAGAGGCTGTTAAAGGTGTGAGACAAGAATGGAAATGGAATGAAATGAATCCTAAGGATAAAGAGCAATAAAAAAAAAAGGATTTAATAAAAGGAAAAAGTAGGGAAAAATTATATCGCACCGTTCAACACTCGGATGTTCACCAAGCGTTTCAAAGAGGGTGATTTTGTGAAGGTGAATGATAATCTAAGGAAGAGGGTGAAGAAACTTGGATTAGAAAGATTACTTGATATAGAATGCAAAATAATTTCACAAGAGCTTTGCGCAGAGCTAATACATGCATGTGACCCGCCAACAAAGATGGCAATCAGAGGAAAGACAATCAAATTGATTGCTACATATGTTGCAAGCTTGATGGGCTTTACCTAATGCTGGGATGACAATGGACATATACTGTATGATTGATGAATTTAAGTTCGACAGTAGGATTGATGAAAACATGCTCATTATTAGCCCTGCCGCATTGCTCTAAGATGTTTATGGTGGCATGGTAGAAGTCCAGCCATTGAAATATGTCAAGGTCGGTAAATTACATACTGTAGAATTGATTTTTCTCCTTCAATATCAATGGAGAATATTCTCAGGATTTATCTTCAGGGATATCCAACTTTGCTAGCCTGGTCTAAAGTACAAATTCTACTCAAGCATAGAGCCTTTGGTTGTCCTGATTGAGCAATGTCAATCACAAAACAAAACAAAACAAAAAAAAAAAAAAACTGCAGGCGAAATAAGCTACTACATGCTTTGTACAAGAGTCATAGAAACTTGTTAAATTGGGGGGTGGGGGAGGATAACGGATTGAAATGAATCAGAAAAAAATATATTTGAAGATAATCTTATAGTTAATCAATTAAGATATTCAAATATTACTTTGCAAAGAATGTAGTTGATACATGAGTTCCTTTCGAAGTTGGTCTCTCCTTATTTTTCCAGAAGTAGTGAGTGGAAAAGGTTTCCTCCACAAAATAAACACTTTTGGTATCTTAAACCTGAAAGGAAATCATCAACAGAAAATATATAATATGTAGCAAGTTGAATTATTTACGAATAATGAAACTTTCAATCCTTCAAGTTTATCTTAGTTATTGATTTGATTTCATAAATTTAATTTTTATTATTTTAATCCCTTACGTTTTCTTAAACTATCATGTTAATCCTTTAAATTTTAAAATATAATTGACTCTCAAATTAATATAATGTGTAGAGTATATTGATGACTTGACAAGTATATGAAGCTAAATGAGAACAAATTAGCTCTCAAATCAATTGAAGTTTTATCAATATTATGCTGCATTTTACTCTTGTTTTTCAAGATTATGTGTCTATTTTTTCATACCTAAATAGTGACACTTCTTTTCATTAATCTACATGGCTCCAATCAATATTCCCTAATTCATGTTAATATATTTTAACAGTATTACCTTATTTTGAATATAAAGACCAAAATGATAAAAATTATAATTGAGAAACTAAATCGATAATTGAAACAAACTTGAGGAACTAAGAGTGAATGACTCATTTCTCAAACTTCATGCAGTGTACCAAACGCACATCTAATTGAAAAGGAATTACTAAAACACAGACTGCATGCTTATCCCTCAACGCCCTTGCTCCTCAATTCCTCTAAAAAATAATCTGACATTAAATAGCATGAGATACCTGCTTAAATTCTTTTTCATACAATATTGCCTAAGATTCCCTGGTGATAAGTGATGATCTTCTGAAACAGACTGCTCTGACCATTGCCAATCTTTACTTGTTTGGATACAAGCAACTACCATCTCGGTCAAGCGAACATCAGGAATTCCCACAATTACCACACCGGCAATTCCTGAATGTTCCAGTAGAATTTCTTCAACCTATTTAAACAGTATATTTAAACTTCAATGAGAATTTCAAAGGCCATGAATCAAGTAAGACAAAGAATTGATAAAGTAAAAAAAAAAATGGAATTAATTTAATTTAATGCAATGACTTTGTTGGTCCCTATAGTTTAATAATTTACAATTTCATCACTGCTAAATTTTTATTAAGTGGTGTCATCTTCGCTCGTTAATCGTGTGCTATTTTGATATTCAAAACATGCATAGCTCAACAAAATAGATTTTAAAGATAGAAATTTTGCAAGAACTGAACTAAGTCTTTCTTTGCAAGAATTCTATATAACAATGTCATTCATTTAAATTTTTGTTTTGGACTACTTGTATGTCCCTTTTGAAAGACGAAACTTGAGAAATAAGCAAAATAGGTTTATTGTATGTTTCTACCTCTTCAGGATAGATGTTCTCTCCACCACTTTTGATCAGACCATTTGTTCGTCCAAGGAGCCACAAATTACCGTTGTGATCAATTGATCCAATATCACCTGTGTCAAGCCAGACGTCATTTGATGGATCTAACGGGCATGTTGGAGTTTGATCCCAATATCGGAGCATTACATGTGGCCCTCTAGTTAAAATTCTCCCAACATGACCAGAGGCATCTGAATATATACTAAGTTCGACATGGGGAGCAACCTTGCCAACACAAACACCTTGAGAGTATTTCATAGTATCAGATCTTCTATTCGCAGCCGTCTGAAAAGACTGACCAATCTTTTCATAAGTCGAGTCGTAGAGGGTCAGGAATGTCAGTGAAGAGCAAGTCTCAGTCATCCCTTACATGTATGAATCAGATTACAGATAGAGAGAAAAGGCCAGTAAGAACTTCCATTTGTTGGACAAACAAGACCTAACAAAAGTTGGAAAGAGTAATATATTCATGTTTTTGGGTATATCTTTATTCAGTAAATACAGAGAGGGAGGGAGATGAAGCTTTTGAGTGTCTTTGTCAAAAAAAAAAACACACACACACACACACACACACACACACAAAAAAAGAGGGGGGAAAAAAGAGGTATTCACTGCAGCCTAAAATAAAACCTATATTGACTGAAACACAGATTTGGATGAGTTTCTCATTCATATGCTATAGGCACCTATTTTTTATTCCTGAGCAAGGAAATCAGGCACAAGATAGATTGGCAGTTTTAATACCTCCCGGGAACAGGCCTGAAAAAAAACATGGGATAAATGACAAGGGATTTTAATAGAATATGGTATGGTTTCATATCTCATTGTACTCTTGTAGGATTGAACACATGGATTGTTGATATATTGGATTCGTTTCTTTTATTAAAAAAAAAAATGTTTCAGTTTCTTTGTTCTTTTCCTACATCAGAAGGATTATCAAGCCAGACAACAGAGAGACAGACTGATGGCTATCCTAAAAGCTCAATCTGAAAATGAAGTCTGACCAATGTCAACAAATCAATGTCTGTTGATAATAAAGAAAGACATACAAGTCAAGTGTCCAATGAGCTTTTGGTTGCATGATATGAATCACAGTTCAATTATATATGGGGATTATACTGAGAAATGGGAAGAGGGGAGGAAGGAGGGAGAGCAGGTGGGGAAAGACAGAGAGAAGGGATTTATATGCTGTTTGGTTTCTTTGACCTCACAAATATTTTTTGGAGTGTGGCTTTTCATAAAGGTTAATATCACTTGGCCTTAAAATCTTCTATGCTTTCAATTCAATATCAAAACCATGGAAATATAATGTTGTCTTTTATTTTATCTCTTTATCTCCTTTCTCCCATAATTCTATACGTCTTCTCCTTTTCAGTTCCAACTTGTTTCTTTTATTCTGCATAGATTTTCTCAGGCACAAAGTCAAGAATAAAATTTAAATGGTGCCAAAAAGTGAAGTGAATAAATAAAACTGTGGAGAGAAGGGTAGATAGAAGTAGGGAGAAAATAAAAATAGAGAGAAGTTGATGGAGAAGAAGAAAACCAAATGCTTGATATCATTACTCACAGGCAAAGGCCTAGCAAATGAATAGGATAATCCTAAAATAACTTATAGATCCATAATCCTAGTTTATCTAAACTACTATAATCCTAAAAGATAATATAAACTTTATTCAAATTTAAAATAAACTAAATCCTAGATAAAATAACTTAGGATAGGATAATAGGATAAATCCTAATCCAACTAGTTCAATTGTCTTAAAAATGAAATTAAACATAATTTTAAAATAACTTAATTTCTAGATTTTATATGCCTATTTGTCTTCAAACTTCCCTCAATATGTTAACAAAAGTTATTCTGTGATCCATTGACTTGAAATTACTTCCTACATTTAAATATCCGTTATTAACATTAATACAGTCATTTCTGATTCATGCCACTTAGATTCTGTCAATATCTTTGCTTCTAGTTATCATTATAGCTTTTAAGATTTGAGAGGTCTCAAACAAAAGTCTTCCTGAGAGGAGGCTATTCAGACCAATCATGGTGCAAAAGAAAATGAAAACTGAGTCAGAGATGCCTACCATAAGCTGAGATAAGCTTAGCTTTAGGGAAGAATATACTGGAGTACATGATGAGCTCATTTGAGAGGCTCCCACCCCCGTTGAGTATTTTCTTGACAGATTCTCCACCATTCCAGGTCTCCTTGCCCCTGACAGAGGGCCAAGAAAATCAATAATATTATATTGATTAAACAAAGGAGGTGCAGAATTATTGTTCTTAGATGAAATCCAAGATGCAAAAAGCAAGATATTAGTTTAAATTCGGTCTTTTGGTTAATAAAACTCCACACTTTATCCTTCTTAAAATATCACAAAAAGTGAAAATGTTATATATTACTTAAATTAATGTCAAAAAGTCACACTATTGTCTTCTGGCACCTTAAGCAAGGGAGAAATCCAAAAGGACGTTCAAAACATAAAGTATTATGTGACAATCACTTGAATTTTAGGCATTAGTTTTAACTATATCTACAATTTTCAATCATATTTGGTTGGATTAAATTTTACATTTTAATGTTTAGGTGACAAAATTGCAATTAACCTTCAGTTTAGGGGGTTATATACATTTGACCAATCATTAGTTAATTTAGCATTTTAATTACAGAATATAAATGATAGAAAAGTGAATACAGCAACATTTTATATTAAAATAAAAGCTGCTAGTTTTTTAAAACCACCCACTAGTGATACTCTGCACAAGAATGTCAACCAGAATATACCTAATTACGAGAACCATATCAGCCATTATTGCAGGGACTGTGATTAGAGATGTGACAGTATATTGCTCTATGGCATCAACAGCTGATTGGGCATCAAACTTGGACATCAAGACATGGCAGCTGCCAACCATTAGCATGGCCATTGCCGATGACAATCCACCAATATGGCACAATGGAGCAGTATGCAAATAGATCTGTTACAATAGAAAATGCATAAAAAAAGGGAAACTTAACTTTTCTGTAACTGTTTCAATTTGAATTATCAAGTATCAACTATCTTGGATGTTATGCGGTAATTTGTTTTCTATATATTAGCATCCAAGATGCTTCCGTTCAAGTTACTAGGTTGTCATGAGATAGCATCATTTTAGGCGTGTCCCTTTCCATCCAAAAAAGTATAATAAAATACCAACTGTATGTATCATTTGTCAAACCAAACACCTAAATCTACATTATCTAAAATCATAACACCAACAGCTTTCAGCTCAAATAGTAGTAACATTTTACAAACAAAAGCAAGAAACGCAAGTGACATAGAAAGGCGTACATCATCCTCACAGTACCCAACAATGGCAATCTTTGCTAGAGATTGTATAATCAGAGCTGCATGGCTTAGGGTAACTCCCTTCGGTTTTCCCGTCGTTCCTTGAGTTGAGAACAAAATAAGATAAATATTATGAACTTGTAAATTCTCAGAGAAATAGATATGTGCTGTAATATTTGCAGTAATATCATTAGTCCACAAAGAATTCAAGCCCTTGATTATCCGCATTCAGATATCAAACAGCGTTTTTGGAATTTTGAATAGGACATTTCGTTTGTCAGAACAAAAATACAATAACTACGATTTATAAAGACATCTAATATACTTTTTTTTTTTTTTATGAAACAACTCAAAAGTAAACTTTAAGGTCACATAATTTTTTTTTTCCTTTGTTGCCTTTTAAAGTATTCCTCCCCACATACTTTCAGTGGATGGATGTGTAATAAAACAATCTTCATTTCTACTTAAACTGATTGTTGCGTAAGTTGGTCACCCCATTCACCTAAATCTCTTCATAAAAAATCATTTAGATCAATATTTTCAACCTAGCAGACCGATGGTTTTTATGAATGCCCACTCATGTTGCGTTACCATAGAATAGAAATGATTGCTTGCCGGGAAAGTTTTTTTCTTGCACAAATGGAGAACAACATATTTCCATACGTCATATGGATTCAATTGGTAAACGTTCTCAGAAACTACAAATCCTGCCATCCTGGCAGCAGAATGTTTCATCCATAATTTAACCAAGTGGTCTTCACCAATTTTCTGGTGATTTTGCTTGTTTGAAAGCATACAAACCACAAGCATCTAACAGGGTATTCTAGAAAAAGCAACAATAAGACTTGAACCTGAGGTGAAGCATATTATGACAGCACCTTCGGGAGCCCATGAATAACGAAATGGTGGAAGCTTTGTGAGATGCTTCTTTAGTAATTCTGGAGTTAGTACTGCCAAATAGTAAAAAAATTGTCATGACAGGTTCTTCCAGACAAAAAAAGAAAGTGTTTCATATAGCTTATTTTTACACTGGTCCCAAATTTTTCAGCAATATTCTTACAATTCCACTTCTTGATAAAATCTGAGGAAGAGGAGCCTAAAAAGACATGCCACCTCAGAGATGGGATATCCTTTTTCTGGAGGTTTATGAACCAGGTGTAACTACTCTCATCAATAACCAACATCACCGGTCTCACTGAGGTAATTGCTAATATTGCCTCTTTAATGCTCTGCAGGTGAAGAAAATTAATAGATGAAATAGATGTAAAGCTTGGCATTACATTAGTTGGTAAAATGCTTTAGGGAAAAGGAAATTGAGCATGCAAAGATAGAGTGGAAGATAAATTTAAGCAACATATGGTTTCAAAAAGACAGGAAATAACTTTCCAAACAGAACACTAAGTTCCTTCTAGTCCCTGGATTACAATCATATTCCTATGTGTAACAACATACCACTGGATGTGTGCGTGCGTGCGTGCGTATGTAAATCATGCTTCTTCTTCCTTCCATCAACTCCCCAGAAGGAAAACTTATGAATAGATAGATGCAAGTTTATGTTTAATTTAGTTTATCACTTGATGATTATGAAATTAATGTTGAAATATAATCACTTTCAGATATAGCATTGAAATGCCATCTTGGCAGAAACATGGCTTCAATATAAGAAGAAAGAAAATCAAGTCAATAATAATTCACCACTCATCTATAAGGATCAATCATGTCGGCAGAAAATCTACTCACCCATCGATAGTTCAAGGGAGAAGCTATCCCTCCAACAAATGCAATAGCTAATAACCACCCCAGATACAAATCACTGAGAGGGAAAGAAAACTAATTAGAAACCAATTGACATTTCTCAGGATATAATATATTCAAATTGCAAATCATTACCAGCTTTTCTGCTGGCTTCATGGAAAAAAATAAAAAGAAAAAAAAAAGAGAAAAAATTACATATAGACAAGAAAACTTAGTAAGAAGGATTACATATTGAAATCTAAAACTAGATGCAAAACATCAATTTTTCAGTGCCCATTTTATTTTATTCAATTCATCATAATCTTGAAGTGAGACAGTGCAACTTAAAACTTCTGATGCCTTATTATAGATCACATACTGCTCAAGTCAAACAACTACCTCAAAACAAGAGATTTTGATCCACAATGTATCACTGACCAGCACACAAATTTAATGTTTACATTAGAGTAATTCCTATTGGATAGGCACCCCAAAATATAGAGGTGATCCTATTGAAAAATGCAAGTCAAAAGCACAACGTCTAGTAGAGATACTTTTAAAGTGAGAAACTTTCATGTTTATCAACCAATAACGTGTTCAAGAAGTTCTAGTACATAATGCAAAGCCAAATGCGCCCGGTCAAAAATCACAATAAATAACATATATAAAAAGTTCTTAAGTTCTTTATTTTATTAAAATAATTTAAGGTGTAGGTATTTTTGTAAAACTTCAGTGGAAGACAACTAGAATTTTTTTTTTTTAATAAAAGAAAAAATCTGCATAGTTAAGCATTTCGAAATAAGAAAGAATAATTTACTAAATTAAATTGTAATGAAGTATGAGCATAACCAGAAACTTTGAGGAAAGTGTTTTATCTATCTTCTTAATTTTCTACATTTTGTTTTCCCACAAAATTTAGAGTGTTAGCAGCTCTATGAGATGCTGGGATAGATTATAATGTAATAAGAAATAATCATAATGAAAACAAAAAGGCAAATGATGTTGGAGCTGAAGCTTAATGGCAATTTGGAAGGGTACCTGTTGTAAGCAGAGATGGCGACAACGTCACCTGCTTTAACTCCAATTTCTCGAAGGCCGTACGCCAAGGACACTACTTCATGCACGAACTGTTCTCCAGTTTTGGGCTGGCCATTGGTAATTGTAACCGGAAGATTCCGTCGGGAAGTTAACAGTTGATTCAAACATTGGCAAATATGAGCATCGGAGTACTTACCCATCCGGGAATGCTCCAAATGCTCTCTCTGTATCTGCCTATTTGGAACTGTCGTGTTCGTGGCCAAACCCTTTCAACCGTGTGACAAGAAAATGCCACAGAAATCCAGTGGAGGAAGGTAAGTAAGAGTAGATGCAATCTGCGAGACTGGAGAAGACCAGAAGAGACTCGCTGCAACGAAAGACGAAGAAATGAAGAGCGGAACCAAGGATGTCGAGAGCTCGAAGGGAGCTAACCACAAGACTGCTTCCGCGATAGCTATACCCAGTAGCGAGAGCAGTAGCAATGCGAGACCCAAGCGACCGTCCGAGGCTGAGTTGAATAGACGACGAGAGCTTGGATTATGCTTCAAATGCGATGAAAATATGAACCCACTCAAAGGTGCAAAGGGAAACAGTTTCGACTGATCATGAATAGCGAAGAAGAAAAGGAAGAGATTGAGGAAAATGATTTTGTTGAACGCGAAGTCGAGGGGATGACAAAGTAATGGCCACGATGGAGTTATCTCAAGCAACGATGGTAGGCTTCTCTCGACAGCATCGAACGATGAGGGTAAACGGGGTGCTCAAGAATCGTCCAGTGATAATTCTTATTTTATTTTATTTTTTTTGTAGATAATTCTTCCAAAGAATTTCAATCTAGGTTCCTTCACCAAATATAATAAAAAAGTGAACCCCTTACAAGTTAAAATTTCATTGTAGCATAATGATAATGAAATGAAATTTAAATATTATGAAAAATAACAACATTCACCCTTTATTTCTGTAGGAAAATTAGGTGTAGTTATTTGCACAGATAACTTCAATAAAAAAAAATTAACAACTTCAACATAGGAAATAAATTGTAGGGAATTTCAAACTTTATTTGCTATGATAAAATCAGTTTGAATAAAATCAAATGAATTTATATATATCAACAACTCTTAGAAAAAATTAATCACTTTAATATAGAAAATGTACTACAACAATATGGGAAATTTGTGACTATGTTTATTATAACAACAGCACTAAAAATAAAATTAAGTAAAGTTATGTACATAAACAATTTCTATATGAAAAATAATCACTTTAGTATATATAATAAACAACTACAGTATGGTGAATTTGCTATTTTTTTTTTACCATGATAACATATGCAACCAAATAACTCTAATAAAAAATTAATTACTTTAATATGAAAAATCAACATTTTTAGTATAAGAAATTTTTAAGTGTCTTTTAATAGGCTTAAGCGATTAAGGACAATGAGATCATTAATTTCATTTCAATACATAAAATTTTAAACTTTAAGAGGCTCTCTTTTTCATTATATGTGATCAAAGGGTCTAGAGTAAAATTTATCCTAATTCTTATTGATAGTGTTTGTGCCAAGCCTGACGCTAGGCCAAATAAATCTAAACAACTTCCAACCAAACCCGATATACCCTAATAACATTTCTTATTGATAGTGTTTGTGCCAAGCCTAACGCTAGGCCAAATAAATCTAAACAACTTCCAACCAAACTTGATATACCCTAATAACATTTTAGTATTTTAAAAAAAATAAACAAATAAAATTAAACATTAATTAATCTTTTTAAGTTTTAGATGTTTTATACTGAGAAATCATATATTTTAATACATCATTATAGATATTTTCTTTAAAAAAATTAAAAATATTAATATTGTCATATTTTTATTATTTTTAATCTATAAAATAACTTAAAATAATATTTAAATGTATTTCTGTACTTATTTTTTAAACTTTGACCTACAATTTTTTGAAAAAACTTGAGTCTTCTATATTTTTCTTAGTATTCCAAAATATATATTTTAAAATCTTTTATAATAATACAAATAATTAATTAAAAAACAAAAATTGATTTTTTTTAAAAAAAATATAAAAATGGCAATTTGGATATTTGGATTGGCTCAAATAAGCCTAAGTCCAAGAGTACCTGGGCTAGACTTCGTATATGGGGTTTTTTATGTGTTTGGAACTTTTACACTTGATTCGAATAAACTTGTCCTAAATAAGCTTAAACCACTCGAATTGTGGACTTTAGAGCCACCGATAATTTTATTACACACCACATTGTCAAATGGAGATCACACCAACCTATTTAAACTCAATTACCGTAGGTGATGGCCGAAAGACTTATTCCAGAGGTCAGTGTAAGAATGTTCACATTAACTAGCACAGGTACCTTCTAATTGCTTTCATCTATCCAATATTGATTTTGCACTAGGAGTCACATGGTTAAAGACACTGAAGTCAATTGGGGACAACTATATATAAAGGTAAGGGTTGGAAAAGCCTAGGTATGCTTGAAAAGGGACCCTACCCTTAATCAACAAAAGTTAGTAATTTGAGCCAACCCGAACCCACCCATAAAAAGTTAGGGCTAAGCTTGGCTATATAGACTTTTTTAATAGGGTAAGATACTTTGAGCCCGATCTAAATAACCCAACTTAAATTGAGCCTAGCTTGAATAAGCATGACCACTGGAATTTCTAACTTTATATATATAAAGTTGGTAATTTTGGTCAAGCCTAAATCCAGCTGAAAAAAGTTAAGGTCATGCTTAACTACATGAGCTTTTTTAAGAGGGTATGATACTTCAACCCAATTTGCATAAACCCGACTCAAATTGAGCCTGACCCAAATAAGCCCAACCCTCTCAAATTACCGGCTTTATAATCAATGTTGTAACATCTCAAAACCTAAATTATGAATCAATTAAGGGTAGAGTGGGAAATTGTGGTGTAATCTAGGTAAATTGAGGTCAATATTTTGGTTTCGAATCTACCGGATCCTAATATTGGGCTTGGCGCTAGTCAAATTAAAAGAGTAGTGGGGCCATTTTAGGACCTAATAAGGATGGCTAGAAGTGGACTTCGCCCACTATATTGTTCACTACAACTTGGCTCTGCTAGGGTTAAGGTTTTCAACCCTTTGAAGTCCATATGGTAATGTCTTCCCCGAAAAGTTAGGATCCTAAAACCATAAAATAGTAAGGATCCTAAAATTATTAAACATCTAAATTACCATAAAATACAAATATTAAACATATAAATTTTTTAAAATAGTTATAATCGTAAAATTATTTTGAAAACCATTCAAATTATCCTAACATAAGGATTTATGCATAACGGAAGTGTTTAGAAATGCATAAATACTATTTAAGAGGAAATAAGGGAAAAATAGTCATTTTTGCACAAACTGGCCCATATGTTGCGGCATTGGTCACATGTGCTGTTATGGCATGTCATATGGAGCCATCAATTCATGTAATGTCTGTTCTGACATTACTAATTTATCACACAATTAACATACTAGAAATTAGGAGTCATTAAACCCTAAAATATCTCAAATGTTAAATATTGAAAATATAAGAAATAATTCTTTTAAGATGGTTGGATTTCAAAAATCTTTTGAACATAGTTCAAATCATCCAAACATATGTATTTATACACAAAGAAAGCATTTAGAGATGCAAACATGCCATATTAAAGAAACTTGAGGCAAAACAGTCATGTCAACCAAAATGGATCATATGCCAAGGCATGTGATATAGAGTTATAAATGCATGCTTTGTGTCATGCGCCTTGGCACACCTAACAAATTTTGCTATTATGACAGTTTGTCTAATACAAACTTTTGGCATGTACCATTTCTACATAAAGTGTCTAATTGGAGTGATTCAAGTGTCCACACATTACTTATTTCATATCCTATCTAATGACGCATGTTTAATCTCAATCCAACATTTTTTTAAATTAGACACTTGAATGCAAAATGATTGTTTTATGTCATTTTCACTTACTTGAACGTCCCAAACTCCAACCTTGTATCATTAGCCACTTTCAAAGGCTTGACCACATTCAGTGGGACATTTTTTACTTAATTGATTGACCAAATCATCAAAATCATAAGCGAATACAAATTTGGCCAATAAACCACCCTTTATCACATAATAGGGCCTTCTTTCTCAAAATCACATATCACTAATATAAAAAATATCTTTGGGAGTGCATCTTTTGAAGTGCTTAGAGAAAAAGCACTACTAAAAATGGAGGCGGAATGTACCAGAGTGCTTTTTTTAATAAGCACTCCGGTAAAGAGCACTTCTAAATTATGAAAATTAAAATTTTTTTAAAAATTTCAAAAAAGATTTTATATTTAGGAGAGGTCTAAAAAAGAGAGCTCTTATATTAAATATAAAAAATAAAAAAAAGTTCCTTTAGGAATGCTCATTAGAATACACGTTTCAGAGCGCTTTTAAATAGAGCGCTCCTAACCGTGTTAATAAAAAATTAAAAAAAATTATGTTTAAACTTTAGGAGCGCTCTTTATAGAGAACTCCTAAAGGTATCACATTTAGGAGTGCTCAAGTGTAGAGTGCTCCTAAATGTATTAAAACAAATTAATCTTAACCTCTAGCCATTAGTGAACTAGCCAAAAACTGTCAATCTTTGTCTTCTATAACTTGCCACTTTGTCTCCTAGATCTGAACGCTACTTCACCTCCCTCACCGATAAGCTTGACGTCGCCAGTCCCCCTTGTCGAAAAGCTTCCCCTTGATGCTCACGTTGCTGCTACCGTCAATCTCATTGCCTCTCGCTTCACATTGCACTCTGCCAATACTAAGGTTTCTTAAATAAATAATTAATTAAAATATAGATATATTATATGAATAATTTACGGATTAATAATATATAGATAAACTTTGTTGATAGTTAATTTTTTATTTGGCTTTAGACTCATATTAGTTGATCTTTATCTTGAAATGTAACACTTGCCCTGAGTGTTATCCAAAAATCACACAGTTCAAATAAACTAAGTGTGGTTAAGGAGTTGATCCTAAAACAACTTAGGAAACAAATTATTTAAATTACTAAACAGATACACCATTGCAAAATAAATATTTAAAACCTTTAGAAAAATTTATAGGTTGTACCTATAGTGCATGGAAGCAAGCTAGGTGAAAGTGAGGTAAAAAGATGTTGTCATGACAGCATTAAATTGCTGTCATGATAGCCCTCCCGGGCCAACTTTTGGAAGGCACCATTCTATCATCCGGCAATCGAAGTAATTTTAAAGCTTACATGTCATTCTTAATAATTACTAGTAGTGCACTAAATTTCAAAAAGATCTAACGGTTGGATTAAAAATTGGACATGTTACAAGTTTGTCATTTTTGCTGTCATGACAACACATTCAGACCAACTTCCAAATTGCATCATTTCATCATCCAACCTCCGATCATAGCAATTCTAGAGGCCACACATCACATTCAAAGGGCACTACAAGTGTACCAAATTTTAAACAGATCTATCAATTGGATCAAAATTCATACATGTTGCAAATTCAGCAACTTTGCTGTCATGATAGCATTAAATAGCTATCACGACAGCACCTTCAGGCCAACTTTCAGAATGTACTGTTTCTTCATACAATATCCGATCGAGGTGATTCCAAAACCCACATGAATATTATAAAAAGTTTTACTTGTGACCCAAATCTCAAGAAAATCTAACAGT